CATGGTGCCACACAAAATATTAGCATCAAAAATGATAAATTAAAATATTAGCATCAAATTCCTATATGACTCTTCTTAGCCAGCCAGTTCCTGTTCCTCTCTTTTGAAAGACACCACAGATTTCTAACATCAAAGAAATGTTGTAAAACAGTCTTTTCTCTTACCAGCAAGAGCCCTTTTTATTACCTAACTTCTATAATAGATAACTATTCTTGTAACAGCAGCTAACTGCCGAAGGCTTGGAATAGCAACGCATGCTTTACACACACATCCAATGTCCAGTCTTCATGCCGATTTCAGTCTAAGATTACGTTATTGAACATAATGGAAATACATACTTGCAATGATGAATGGTGGACACCTTAGCTTCCCGAAGTGTGGTAAAAACTGTATACATCCCTGCACCAAGCCTGCTTAACCTACGTGAATGAAACACCGACTTAAAAACCCTATGTGCACATACTGCCCCCAAGTGGTGACAGCCCAAAATACATCGACATTAACACATTGGCTCCTACAATTCTATTGTTAAATACGTATATCTCAGCCATGCTGTGCATGCATGGTTTCTCTTTCTTTTGTGCTTTCTTTAAAGTTTCTTTTTCATTCTACCTAACATATTAGAGAGTTATAACTTGTTATAGTTGCATTTTGTGCAAAGCTGCTTTTACATAAAACATACTGTAAAACTCTACAGAAAAAACGGACTACTGTCTGAAGTTCAGGAGAAAAAAAATGTCAAAGCTGTTCTGGGCTGTATAGGATTCAAATAAAAATATTGTTGAAACTTGTTCCCATATGGAACAACAGTCTTAAATGGGCTATTTAAAGGAAAATACATAATATAATTAGAATTGTATTAATTACAATTTTAATAAACCGAAAGAAAGAAAGAAAGATTGAAGTTGTTTTCAGAGGTAACCTAACAATATTGTAGGCATTTTGTGACCAAAATGGCGAAGTTGATTTAAGACAGAAATCATGGAGGTAGGCCTATTTATTTACATGATTGATAACCTAAAAACATTTAACCGTCTGACAGAAATGTATTCGTTATAACTGCTTGATACTTGCGTTGTAGGGCATCATTGGCGATGTTTTTGTTTAGTCTCCCAAACAGATACTTTATAAACAAATATCTTTTCAATGTGTCTGTATTTGACACTACTCGGAGTCGTGTCAAGCAATGAACCCACGAATCGACTGTGCGGGTTCTATTATCTTCCCTGTATTCTGTTTTGTTGTCGATTGTCGACTACTTACGCCTGCAGCGTTCGGCAATGGCTGACAGCACGAATGAAACAGTAGCAGCGTCCAAACCAGAGGTATTTTACAACTATCGGGAGAGGAGTAAATGTTCCCCCGAGAAAGATGAGCGATCAGAGAGACAACATTTCTGGAATGTCATCAACGCGTTTAAATACTACAGGTAAACACTTGATTGCTGGAGCATCAAAGACCAAAGATCTGCTCCACACCAACACAAGCTGAGCAACTGTTCTTTTTGAGCTTTAATATTTACAATTAAAAAATTTCTTATGGAATTCTGTTTATCAACCCCTCTGCTTGTAAATTTTTATTTGAATTCTAAAATAAAGCTCTGGTCCATTAAACAATAAGTCCATATTCTCTCTCTCTCTCTCTCTCTCTCAAATGGTGTGCAAATGGAGCTTTACTGTCACTTTGTGAGGATTGGGAAATAATGTTTAATTGGTGATATATGGTTGTCATGTTGATTAGGCGTTTTTTATGCCTCCTGAACACATTGCAATGTGATATGTGTGGGGTATAATGTAGCGTGTGTTTTTAGATGTTTTAATAAAGTGTGTTAAAACTAATCAATATTGTTTTGTCTTCCATGTGTTCAGAATTCATGTTCATGAACGAGTGAATCGAGCCGAGCGGCAGTTCCGATGCCTTCCAGATCACCACCAGCAACTTCTGACAAACTTCATTCCCAATCTGACCAAGATTCGCTACTGTATCGACCGAAACCAAGAGGTGCTGCAGGCCATAGTGCACAACTGCCTCCATATGTTTGAGAACATGGAATATGGACAGGATGTAGGTGGCAATCAGTGGCTGTAGGTCTTACAATTAATAATGTCGTATTTTTTATTTGGTGGTTGTGATGACAGAAGTGTGACTTTTTTTTTTCTTTAGTTAGTTGTAGTTAGTCCATGATTCTATAATGTTTTCCTTGTATTTTAAAGGGTGACCCAAGGAAAATACGGCCTTCCTCGACTTTTGACATGGACAAGCTGAAGTCAACCTTAAAGCAGTTTGTCCGTGACTGGAGTGAAGCAGGAAAAGCGGAAAGGGACAGCTGCTATAAACCTATTGTAGAGGAGATCCAGAGACTATTTCCTCCTGACCAGTGGTAAATATAATAAACATGTCATTCTGTGAAATTCTTCTCATTGGTGCATGGCTTTAACTTCACTGGCTAAGTGTAAGATGCATGTATAGTGTGTCTGTTCATTACCATTTACAAGTTTGGGTTTGGAAAGTGTTTTTTTTTAATGTCTCTTTTGCTCCCCAAGGCTCCTTATGTGATTACAAATACAGTAAAATTGTTATATTATTAAATAATATTTTGATGTAAAAAAAGTAACTGTTTTCTATATTTAAAATATATTTCAAAATGTGGTTTATACACATGATGGCAAAGCTGAATTTTCAACAACCTTTACCCCAGTCTTTATTGTCACACAATCTTTCAGAAATCATTCTAATTTGTTGATTTGGTGCTCAAGAAACATTTCTTATTATCAGTGTTGAACATCGTTTTTGCGTTAACTGTGATATACTCACTATATAAATATAAATGACTTTTAAACAAATAACCATTTACATGCTTAGGACGTTTGACTTGTAAGAATGTGCAGTGAGACTTCAGATATAAATACGGTGACTCGTTTTCTAATTATAATTGTACAATTTCCTATTAATTTGATAGAATATATGGGAATACTAGGGAATAGCAATATGATGGTGCACTGTGCAGTAGCTTCACTTTTTGTGTCATGTCATGAGCAATCCATTTCTCTATTATAGATCAGTGGATAGTTTTTTTTTTCTTAAATATTCAGCAAGGACACATTAAATTGATCAAAAGTGACAGTAAATGATTTATAATGTAACAAAATATACAAAAGATTTCTATTTCAAATAAATGTATATGTTATATATTATAAATAAATGTATAAATGTGAAATTCTTGTAATATTTCTCTCTTCAGTGACGTGTCTCAGGTCAAAGTGTTAGTGCCGGGGGCAGGTCTGGGTCGGCTTGCATGGGAAATCGCTCATCTGGGCTATTCGTGCCAAGGCAACGAGTGGAGTTTCTTCATGCTCTTCTCCTCTAATTTTGTTCTGAACAGGTAAACCTCATTCTAGGATAGAAGTATCTATCTAGGATAGAGCACATGATGCTGACAGCCAATTTGAATTATGAAGTCGGAATGTTCATGACATTTGTATTTATGAGGACACTAACTAATATTTTGTCTCTCAGGTGTGATAAGGAAAATGCACTGACACTGTATCCCTGGATTCACCAGTTCAGTAATAACAAAATGTCCTCAGATCAGACAAGACCCGTGTCCTTTCCCGATGTCAATCCACAGAGTCTTCCAGCAGACTCGGACTTCTCTATGGTCGCTGGAGACTTCCAGGAAGTATATAGTGACCCTGGTGAGTTTTTGTGTTTATTTTAATAAACATGAACATTATTATAATTTGCACTTAAATAGCATTAACAACATACAATAACATTTAAAGTTTTATCTTCCATACAGAACTGTGGGATTGTGTTGCTACTTGTTTCTTCATTGACACTGCCCACAATGTTCTTGATTACATTGAAACCATCTGGAATATTCTAAAACCTGGTGGTGTCTGGATGAATTTGGGTAAGTCACAGATTCTGCATAATCATTTTCAGTCAAATGTTATCTACAAATGAAAGCCTGAAAACACACATGTGGCTGAATGCTTTTTGTATTTGTTCTCAAAGGTCCACTTCTTTACCACTATGAGAATATGGCCAATGAATTGTCCATTGAGCTGAGCTATGAGGAAATAAAGGCTGTCATTTTAAAATATGGATTTGTCCTGGAGGTAAATAGCTAAACAGTTTTTTTTTTTATTTAATCAGAATACATTTTTATTATAAATTGTATTACTGTATTTTTTTCAACAGTTGGAGAGAGAGTCTGTTCCCAGCACATACACAGAGAACGAGCGCTCCATGCTCAAGTACCTTTATGACTGTGTCTTTTTTATTGTACGGAAACCTGCAGAACAGTTGATCAATGGAGATCAGACACCTAAAAATGGCCAGATTGAGGATTCTTTAAAGACAAAAAAGTCAACATGACGTTTAGAAGGGTGAAGCTCTGGATGAATTCACAGACAAATTGCCCAATAATAAACTGATGTTTTTAATCATGAATGCCAGCATTATAGCATATTCCTGGTAATACAACAAGACTGGAGCTTTATTGTGCGCTGAATCGTCTCAGATATTTACCAAAAATATGTGTTATGTTTTGGTGCTTCGCTTTGCATTCATATTCCTCAGGATTTTGGGTGCTGCTTCACAACTTCACAACTAATTGCCGCTTGTCACTCCACACATACACTTCAGTGTTTTCTTGCAATTGTTTACATTATCAGAGTTTCTGTGATCAAAATCATATTCAGTCTGAATATGAGTCTGCTCTGGATCTTGCACAAGTACTCCAGTGTCTCCTAGGAAATATGTTTGACCATCACAATTGTACTAGTTGGCAGCATTAAAATAAAGTTGTTTTAAACTTAACAGATTTTTCATGATCTTGTACATGTACTGTAATAAAACTTTTACAATCTACTGTTTGTTCTAAGCATTTGAATCTATTTATTATTCGCCCCACAAAATCCACAAGAATTGTTTGGAAGGTAGTGAATAAATTATGACACGTATCCTAACAAACGTTGTTGTTGTTTGACCTCTCTGGCCACAGAGGGCGCTGTATTCAACTTAAGATAGGACACAACTGTCGTAAACTGAACTGTCGAGAAACTGAACTTCTGCGTAACGTTACTAAAAAAAGGTCTTGCCGCTCTTTTATACAAGCTGAGTTTTGGTCGCACACATGACCAAACGGAGAGCAGAGAACATTTTGCCTCCCGAAATCCCTCATAAAAGATGTTTTCGTTCTCTCTCCGACAACGACAAACCGGTCGGAGGCGTGAACGTGATCCAAAACGCAATTCCATCCTCGTTATTAACGCTGGCTGGACAACGCTGCAGGAAAAGACCGAGCTATCGCGAAGATTCACTGGATACAGATAACCTACCGAGAAAGGTGGCTGCAAACAGGGTTAATTCAGTGCTGGCAGACAGGAACACGTGCCAGTCTAGAACATTCGAGGATGGTGCTGGGAGACCTGTCACGCGACGGTCATCTCGCGCGCTTCAGACGCACTCAAATAAACAGACAGACGAAGAAAATAACATTACTGCAGGAGACAAGGTAAAGTTTCAAACACCTGAGCGCAAACTCTCGTGTTACTGTGTGGCGTCAGGTGGAACAATGTGCAATGCTTGCAGATGAACATAAGGTGGCAGTACATGACCAATATGTTATCAGTATACACATATTTCAATAGGCATATCTATTTATTTTATCTGTCATTCTGTTTGGCCCGACTGTTTTTTTTATTTTTATTAATTTTGTAAAGAAAATGAAACTTTAAGCAGTGCTGGGTAGTAACCGATTAATCTGGATGATCAGACTCCAAAAAATAAGTACTTGTAATTAGGGATATGCCGGTATCAAATTTTCATGTTGCGATTAATTGCTAATGCGTTTATCACGGTATACGGTATTATCACGGTATTTAAATTGTTTTAAACAAGTGCTGTCATTATACAGTATAACAGGTTTAATAACTTTTTTCTTATAACAAAAATAACTGAACGTTTAAATGCAATAAAGCAATACAGAAAAATGTATAAAGTTAAAAGTTTTACACAGATTAAAGTGCATCCAGAGCGTCTCTCACATGTTCCGCCATGTGCTTCTCGGTCAGTGCTCACGAGTCTTTCAGGCAGCATACAGCGATGTCGTGCATTTTGACCAGTTGATGGGAAAAGTATTCTTAAAATGCATTCAAAATTCTGAATAACTTGTAATATATAATTATTCACGGTATTTAGAAGAGCCCACGATAACAATATCGTGCATATTCATTACCGTGATATATCGCATTACCGAAAACCGGCACAAGTCTACTTGTAATTAGATTAAATTACATTTTTGAAGTACTCGTAATCAGACTACAGTTACTTTTTTATGGATTGCTTGATTACATATTATTTACACAATAGTAATAAATTTGTATTGATTCTCCCTAATTCATCATATATTCATCTTTTACATTTTCCTTTCAAAAATAGCTTACTGCTTATACACTCAGAAAGTCTGCAGCATTTGACTACCGGATTTAGAAAAATCATTTCAGGTTTAAGAAGTGTTTCAACATTGCATCAACTACTGATGAACATGTTAATTTTTATTTGAATTATCACTCAGTAGGTTATTTAACCATGACTTTCTATGTCTTTGGAAGGTTTTTGTCTTTCAAACACATTAAACTGCACAAATTCTGCACATCTGATCCTCTTTCACATAATATAGTTACTTAAAGTACCCCTGAGATTTTAAAATAAATATTTTCATAATAACATCACATTTGCATCTTCATGGTTCTCTGATGTTGGTTAATGGTCACATGACTTGCAGGTAATCAAATAAAATATTTCTATTTATAGTACGTGTTTTATTTATTGATTTAAAAATTATTTAATTTAACATTTTATGATTTAATTAATTATTAGCATTTCATTAAACTCAAACCCCCTGCAGTTCCTTCACAAAACCCAGTTTGGGAAACATTAACATAATGTAATGTTTTAAGCACGTCATGTTGTTAATAACAATGAATGGAATATATTTTCTTAATCTTTGTATCAATATGGTACAAGATTATCCTAATTAAATCAATGTGATAAACAAGATGGGTCAAAACAAAGTAATCTAAAAGTAGACTGATTATATTACCTAAAATGTGTAATGTATTGCATTATTAACTACAATTTTTGTCATGTAATTTGGAATCAGTATCTGATTACAATTTGCAAGTAATCTACCCAGCTCTGACTTTAAGGTACTTCAGGTATAATTAGCATTTTCTACTAAACTTCCCCCGTCTTGGTGCAGGTTGTTGCTGTAGTAAACACTTTGGAAATTCAGCTCTGCTTGTATCCCACTAGGTGATGCACACAGATGAGGACCTCTCTCCGTTCAATTCCTTCCAGTTCTGGCGGGATCCACTGCCTGAGTTGGATCTCGCTCTCCTGGAGACTGAACCCTCAACTGGGTCCCACATAGCTTCTTCCACCAAAGACTTGGAGGCGATGGAAACATGAGGAGATCCTCAATGCACTGTGACATTCTTGTTAAGATGTTGTCTAGGTGTTGCCAAATTACCTGACTGGATATGATGAGATGATTCCCTCTGGTCTGCACTAGATGAACATATAAACAAAGCCTTGTGCTGTGAACAGCATGAAGGCCTCCAGCAGAAGCTTCCATTCTGGTAGAAACACGTGGTGGTCACATGACCTCACATTCCTGTCCTGCAGAGGTTAAGTGTTCAGAAGTGTGAAAGCATATCGGACTAATCATGAGTGTATTTTTTTTATTTCAGTATAGCTGTGAAAGCAAGTGTGTCAAGTGTATGTTCTTTTGCTTGGACTGAACCTGTGTTTGCTTTATGTTTATGGTGTTCAGTAGGTATAAGCCACTTTTATTCTTTAGGTGTTTCGTTTTTTTTTTTTTCAACTTGTTCTTTTTCTCTGAACAACTTTATTATTTTACTACTATTTTACGGTACTTCTGATCTTAGTAGATACAGCAAGTGCTTTGAACGTTCCAGTGGCGTAATTGCAGTGTTTTTGAAATTGCTCAACAGCAATAAAATGTCTTTTTTTATACTGATATTGGTTTGCAATATCCTTGGTGATCTGTCTTATTTCATGATTCTTACTTTTTAAGAGGTAAAGGACTACTGTGAAATACGGTGTGTGTTTTCTTTCCCCATTTCTCACCCAAAAGAAGTGAAACATACCTGTTTCCACGCTGTTGTGGCAGGCGCTCATGACCTTTGGTCTAGGAGGGAATAAGGGCTGAGAACATGCCAACTTTATCAGGAGATTGCATCGCCAGTGATCAGCATGTAGAGATAGTCCTGCTCATCTGCTAAGCTAAAATAAGCATGCAAGTAAAATGCTGCAATGGTAAGCTAACTTTTAATACTTCATCCTATTTGAGTTCTCTAGGAATACGTGGAAATGGGATGTACATGAAAAATGATAATAATGTGCAGTCTTGTTGGTACTTAATCTAATGAAACAACTCCGTACTTCAGAGACATGCTTTAACCTCAAGGACAATGAAGACAAAATGTATTTATTTATTTTGGGTGAAATGGAAGCACGTGAGAATCAAGCTCCACACCTCTGATGACAGGCTAGAATTGTTTGTTTTTTTTAATTATTACATATTTTAATGTAATTTGTATATTTGCCGTTATAGAAGGTTACCGCCATGTAAAGTGGAAAAACTGATAGATTTTTTTTATGCATTACATTCGAGTGAAAATCTATTTGAGGTATGGCAAACTATTTTTGTTACAATTCCTGAATGGGATAAGTAAATAAAAATGTAAGTATGTTGGCAACTGTTTACATGATAGACATACTGTAAATATTTTTTATGCCATGTGTTTGATGTAAACTGATATATGAGGACAACTACATATTTAAAAATAATGGCAGCCATAAGCCAATCCGATTTCATAAGATATTAGATAAGGTTAATAACATCAAATTGTCAGTAAGCTCGGTGGGCCTGTCGCAAGCAGTGTTGGGGGTAATGCATTATAAGTAACGCGAGTTACGTAATCAGATTACTTTTTTCAAGTAACTAGTAAAGTAACGCATGACTTTTTAATTTACAAGAAGATATCGGAGTTACTTTTTCAAATAAGTAACGCAAGTTACTTTTTTTTCCAGTTTATTGACTGACAGCTCTCCTGTCCCCATGTTGAGAGAAATCAGAAGATGTTACTGTAGTTCTAAAATAAATATGAATATGCATTAATTCATCTCACTCACAAAAAAACCCCCACAGATTCAGTATTCCTCAAAATGAATAAAAATAATGCAACTCGGAATATAACGCAAACCTGCAATAATTAAATGTTAAACAACACAAATATCCTTTATGTATTTAATACCATTCTATTTGCTTCTGACCTTCGATGATCCAGTTCAACCGTACTAATAAGCCAAAATTACTCTAGACAAACATTTGTGTCTTTTTTTTATTGCTGAAGTGTGTTGAGATTTCTTCTTCTGCGTTCTACTCTACGGACGTAAATTTACTTTCCCTTCAGCCTGAGGCTTATTCATTTCACTTTTGGTGTAAAAAGGCTTTTATATTTGCCAAAAATATAACTTTTTTATATTAAAAACAAACAAGCAAGCCCTGTCCAGATGTACAAAGTAACGCGAAAGTAACGTAACGCATTACTTTCCATAAAAAGTAACTACGTAACGTAATTAGTTACTTTTTTATGGAGTAACGCAATATTGTAATGCATTACTTTTAAAGAGTAACTTTCCCCAACACTGGTCGCAAGCATGTAATGTTACATCCTCTGGTTTTTGACAGAGGGAGGCGCTATAACAGTGAGAAACTTGACCGTACGTACAACTAATGCATCGAAATGGTGTTAACAGTAGCCTATATTACTAGTTGCAGTATTATTTTAAATGCGAGGAATCGTGAGCTTATGTGCAAATAAACCCATTAACTTCTATTTGCAGCAACGTTTTCTGATATTTATGCAGCAATTAAGATTTTCATAACTAAACATTGTTTGTTTGTAAAGATGGGATCTCGTGATTGAGGTCTGGCTGAACGTCCTTAACTATCTTTAACCGCCTGCGCTCGTTAAGTTAGTAATTCACGAACATTATTTTCCCCTTTGCTTCGCTGCTTTTGAAACCAAGTCTTTAAACGAGAAAAAAAATAATACTTGAATCTCATAGCATCTAAGAAACATTTCGAAATGAACACAGGAAGAATGTGAAGAATGAAGTTACGTTTGTTATGCAACTACTATTGGTCTCTCTTGCGCACGAGCTCTCTATAGCACGAGCTTCCCAGAACGAAACAAGTTCGCATTAAAGTTCCAGTTGCGAGTCCACACTCGACACTTTACAGCCCTTGGAAGAGACCACACACTTCCTAGCTGATCGCATCTCATCTATTATGCGCGTTTAATGCAGGAATAAGAATCCGCTGAATTTATGGAAAACATGACTGGGAAAACAACGCTATTACACAGGTAATTAAACAGCTACGCAGAGCGTCAGCGTATGGTATAAGTTTCTAGCTGCCTTGTTGTATGAAACGAAAAGTTGTATCCTACAGGGCTTTACTCTAAGACATGTTAAAACTTGTGTTTGAGTTATTTCATTCCCCATTCCACACAGCACTGTTGTTTTAAATGCGTAGTTACAGCAGTCTGCGACCTCTTTTTCTTCAAATGCACTTATCTACTATTTCTGAACAGATGTGGCTCTTCAGGTTGTAGTAGCCTACAGTAAGTGAAAGTACTGTATGTTTCAGTCTCTGTTTTGGGTGAGGACGCCCTCCTCCACCCTTTTATTTCTTTGGTCGGCTAGATGTAGTTGTTTTAAATTAGGAATATTGTTTCTCATCTGTGTCTTGTATTTCACCTAATAATTCCCGGAAAAGGATGTATAGACGTAATTTTCCACCTCACACCAATGCTTTGTTTTGTTTTTTTAATCTGCAAAATCTGCAAGGCTGAAAAGGCTGTCTAAAAGTATTCATGACTGACTCAGCTGTGAAAGAGATTTGAGGAGAAATGGTACGTTGCATTACGCGCACGCACGCACACACAATATAAGAGTGCATGTAGGCTATATCTGTAAAAAGGTGGCATAGAGGTGCTTCTGAAGTGGCTTCTATTTAGATGTGTTTACATATACTGTTTAATGCTGCTTAGAGGTGTCATAAATGCACTTACACAGCAGTTATAAATGTATATGTTGATACTATAAGCTAAAGTGGGTCATAATTTAATCTGGCTTTTATGGCATTACCTCTTTACATATTTTGAGCAGGCACAGAGGCACACATTCAGAGCAGCCTTAACTCAGATGTGTAAAACATGCCCTAAGAAAGTTTGTTTATCTGTAATTCTTTATGACCACATCTGGGTTATTTTAGCATTATTTATATACTAATATTGTATTTATTAAAATTATGAATTAATAAAGACTTTTAAGTTGTTTTAAGTAACAATAACAGCAATGCTTCTAATGTGGTGGTTATCTCGGCTCAATGCTTCTAATGTGGTGGTTATCTCGGCTCATTAAAGTAGGCCTATAGTATAACAAACCTTATAGTACAGTTGTTTTCCCTTCAGTCTAGACGCAGTTGGATCCAGGCCACTTTTTCCAAGAGAGATTGTGTGACATTTCTGCCAGCCTCACGTGATCATCACAGGTGTGCTTAATAATCTTGGTTGTCATGTCTGCATATAATCTTTTAGCAATGACAATGCGAGTTAATCGGGTGCTTCTGAGGTTATTCATTTTGTCTTAAAGGACCCATATGAATTGCAGCTTTTGCTTATTTGCAGGTGTTATCCAGTGTGTCAAGTGTGCCAAAGCTTAGTAAGGTATTATTTTTTGATCATCAGTGCATTCATCCTCTATTTATTACCATGAAAATGTTTTCTCATTTTAATCATTTTTGTGCATAAAGCTCACAGTCATGGAAATTTTTAAACTGTGGTATTCAAGTCTTTAAAAGTCATGGGAATTCTTGGTAAAATCAGGGGATTTGATTGTCAGCTAAATAGTTAAATGTCTTCTAGTCATACTCGGACATAAAATATTTCATTGTATAGATGTTGCTCTTTGTGAGTGTGATCTCTATAAAATAATTTTTAACTCCATATCGAGTAATCGTGACTGGAAAAAAAACACGAGGTTTAAAAATAAGGTAGAATAGGAGTTTATATCTCATAATTCTGACATTTTTCTTGCAATTCTGAAAAAAAAAAAGTCAGACTTGTTGCAGTTACCTTTTTTACTTTTTTTTAACCACGGTGGGAAAAAAAAAAAACAGAATTGCAATATGTAAACTCAGAATTATGAGGAAAAAAGTCAGAATTGAAAGATTTGTGCCATTCTGACTTCTTTCTCAGAATATTGAGAATCGGAGTCTGAATTGTGTCATAAAAAATTCACAATTACCTCATTTTTTAAAAATTCCGTGATGGAAACAAATTTCCATACCTTTTATCTCTCTTCTATTCTCATTCAGCTTGGCTCATTTAATCTCTTTCCTCAGATGTTGCTGTGGGAGGCTGATCGCGGAGCATGTGGGTCTGTACTCTGGCTTGCTGGGACATGTCCCTGGTCCTGATGAGGAGGAGTGGTCAGTGCTGCAACACACCAGCGTCAGCCCCACTGATGCTTTCGGATCACTGGACTTCCAGGGCAGCACAAAGCGCACGTGTCGTGCCAAGGTTGGCGCTTACAAGGAGGAAAAACTTATCAGGCAGATGTGTTTATGTCTATTAACAGTGTAGTTATAATATATAGAATTGTGCATAGTTCATACAGTAAAGTGCTGTTTTCTCTACAGTATGTGCGTCTTTCCTATGACACTCCACCAGAGCTCCTGGTCCAACTGATGCTGAGAGAATGGCACATGGAGATGCCCAAGTTGGTGATCTCTGTGCATGGAGGGACAGACAACTTCCCTCTGTCTCCACGGGTGTGCCAGGCTTTCAGCACAGGGCTCATCACAGCTGCAGAGAGCACTGGAGCATGGATACTGACTGACGGGATCAATACGGGTTTGTGTTTGTGGCTG